CACTGTAATTATTCGGGCTAAATTATCTTGTTACGATCCAACTAAAGTACTGCTTAACCAGCGGATTCCAGATACCACTTACATAGAATCTGTTATACAATATCTTGATTATAAATAAATTAATCGACGGATAAAAAAGTTACAATAAGGTTTGCAGAGCTATTTCTGAGGATCAGAACTCTAATTAACTATAGTGGGAGTAATATCCATAAATTACTTAAGATGGTCAGGAAAATAACCTGCAGGAACATCCAATCCACTGCAATCATCACCTGCTTTAGTTTTCTTCAATCGATCATAAGCAAGGAACTGTGCAAAAATGACATCACTCACTAAATAAAAAACAAATGAAATCCCAAATTTTCCAAAAACCTCTTAGTTATCACAAACAAATTATTGCGTTAATTGAATGAAACAAAAGATTTAAGTCGTGTCAAATCAAATACAGCATTCTACATAAAAACACAATACTGAGAAGACATGTTTGCATGCATACTCGCATTAATCTCAAGCACAAGTGAATCTTCATCCGCTCAATCATAATATCATTATTTATTTATTCTTACATTTCCTAATGGGAATGAGCGCCAAATGCCAAATTGTTCTTTGTCTTCTGTGTGAGTCTTTCTATGTTGAATTGGGTTATATGTCAGGAAAAACAGGTTGAAAGGTTGGACTTAAGATGATTTGACTCGTTTCCGTTTGTTGAACGAGAAGGGTATGCCATAAAGTCTCTACAGTGATGTAAAAGAAAAAATATGATCGTCAGCTATTGCAAAAACTTTGCTGTAGATGTTGATGCCAAATTTCAAGTTCTGGAAGAACTTTGAGCTTTCAATACCTTAACAATGCCTAAAGGAAAAAAAAACTATTGCTTTGGAATTCAAGCTGTTGCTTCACATACTAAACCATCTGGATTTCTAAAATCTACATCTGAAGGCTGGCTTCAGAAAGAAATTTGAATAAATAGATGTTTTTACGTCATGCTGAGACTATCAAGCTGACAGTTCTTAGAATGTTTGCTGTCTTAATGATCTTTCAATTGGATTCAGAACCAGTTTTAGATAGAGCACAGTTGCAGCTTTTTTACTTCTGATTGAATCTCAAACCACTCTTTTGTGTCTGTTTTTCATCTCAGTTTAATAAAATTCAAAAGGAATGTTTAAATGAGTCCAGCATATTTGATGAGAAGCAGTACAATATTTTCCAATCTCTTCTTCTTTCTTCTTGCCAATGAGTTTCACAGCATTTCAGTGAAAAGTCGGTCTTGAATCAGAAAGGCCCAGTTGTATTGACACATGAAAAAGCCCATTTAAAGAGGCTCCACCTAAAAAAGACAGAGAGAAGCTTTTCAAAAACATGATCATGACCTCTTTAAAAACATCATCCATGACACAGTGAGTTTAGAGTGATAATCAAAACCAGGATTTGGTCCCAGTGTAACATGGTAAGCTGATTCTGTTTCCATGTGGTCTTGTTTGAATCCAGATGTGTAAAGCTGGTAGTGAAATAAATGTGAACACACTGAAACGCTTATTTAAAAAGAAAAAAATCTTAGCTATTATTCAATTTAGAGAAAAATTGAAAAAACACAGATTTCCCAGTGACCTCAACTTAAACTTAACAGGCAGGGATGAGAAAGGAGAGGAGCAGGATTTCAAAGGAGGTCTCCTGTCCACACATGCACTTTTATTACACCTGGGTTAGTTTATGTAGCCTCACATCCACGCTCTCCTGAAACATTAGCACTTTTCACTCACTCTCAGTTGGAGGTTCAAACACATTCGCTCTGTAATCCTATCCCATGCTGCAACTTGTGTTGACAATTACATCAGCTGAAAAGAAGCTGGACAATTTTAAATTTTGGACCACGACAATCATCACTGAAAACCTTGTAAAGTAAAGTATAATGAATTAACAATTTCACAGGTTTTTTTAAGGAGAATAAAGTTGTTTTTTTATAATATAAAAGTTATATAGTTTTAAAGAACATAGACCCTAGATCTTCACTGGATATCAGCTGTTTTTATACATTTGCAATTAAAAGTCCTTGCAGAAATTAAGATCTGTGAAACCAATGATGATATCGCTTGTTTCTGTTTGACATTTGCCCTTACTTTTAACAAAAAAATTCTAATTAGTAACTGGCTAATATTCCAGTAACTTTTTTTTCTTTACCTTCCATCATGTCAATAGAAAGATGCATCAGGGGTTACAATACATTTTTTCCCACATTATTAATAATAATAATAATAATAATAATATCATTACAGCCCCAATTTGTAATTATTTCATTATAACAGTCCAAATCTCTTTATTAAAATCATAGGGAAGTCATATTTAAATGTCAAATTATTCCGGCTTAAACATGTATATAAATGTACTCTTTATTAGACTATATTGTCCCAAAAGTCAGAAAATTTCTATTTTTATAAAAATGCTATCTTAAAATCTGTGTGTGGGGGGGGGGCATTTCACCATCTTATGCAGGCCAGTTAGTCATACGTCAGCTTGTACACCTAAATTTGGCCAATCATATAGCAACGGTCATCTGTCAATCAATTTTTTTTGGTCATAGCATCTTGATTCATATGTTGTAGCTAATATACCCAACGGTTAGAATAAGAAATAAGAATCATTTCCTTTCCCATTGAGTTCCGTCCCAGTGTTCATGGGGATGGACGTCTGTGTCTTCAGCAGGCGTAGAGCTAACAGAACTGGCAGCGTTGTGAGGCAAGGGCTCAAACATGTACGGCTGGAAGCCTTCTACACCAAACCAAGCTTCTGCCGCCATGGCGTCCTCTTCCACAACAACTTTGTCCCTGCTTTGTCGGAGGTCATGAATGAGTCATGGACACTCATCCATGACCTCCGACCCAAAACTCTCCTCCTCTTGCATGTTTCCTCTGTCCATAGCGTTCCTTGACAGAGTTTTTTCTAAGTCACCAATTTAGTGCTACTTGGTCCCAATGGAATTTGCCATTGGGAACCTACTAGCACTGAGTTGCTAACTGGTTAGCAAGAGGCTTCTGACAAACCGGCCACAACCAAACTTGCTTGTGAATCTACCGCCACAACAATCCTGCCCCCTTGATAAACGACCTATCACATTCATTTTATTCACTCTTGTAAAGTCTGGAACCGCTTGGGAGAATTCGGAAATGCAACAGTTGGAACAGCCGCTTCCCTACAACTTTAAAGATTTAGGCTGTTATAGGTCCTCCTCACCATGAAGAGAAATTCTGACTACAGCTGCTTCTGTCTACTTGAACCCCAGTCGCCCTCGACAGAAGGCCGCTCACACTGAGGCAGATCCTGCTGGAGGTTTCTTCCTGTTCAAAGGTGAATTTTTCTCTCCACTGTCTCTAAAAGCATGCTTGGCATGAGAGATTGATACTATCAGCTGGTTTTCTTTAGATAAAATTTTGAATCAATTTGACTGGATGATCTGGTGAACTGTAAAGTGCCTTGAGATGACATGTGTTGTGAATTGGCGCTATATAAATAAACCAAATTTAAGGGGTAATTATATTATTCATCTATTTCAGTAGTTTAGTTATTAAAGTGAGCAATATCAAAGATTTGGTGGCATTTATTCTGCAAAACTGTTTATACCAGTATGGGTTGTAATTTTATGCTGCTATGACAAGGTGGTGGGCAGTGGCACGGGAAGGGGGGTGCTGTGGGGGCTGCAGCCTCCCTCGTCATAGCATCAGCCCCCCATGGTGGGGGGCTGTGGAGTAACAT